ACGAAGCGGAAGAGTTTCCTGCACGGGTAGGAGTCCACCATGGGTCCGCGTTTAGCTCATTTCTGTTCTCGATGGCGACAGATGCGATAACTGAGGATCTGCAGGAAGCAGCCCCATAATGCATGCTCTATGCAGATGACATTGTGCTATGCAGCGAAAGCAGAAAAGCTGTAAAATCAAAAACCGAGGCACGAACAGCTCTAAAGAAGAACGGCTTTCTAATCAGCAAAGGCAAGTCAGAATATATGACGGGCTATTTCAGTGAGGAAAACAAGTTGAAAGCCGTGAAACCAGTGAAAACAGCAGGCAGCTTGCTGCTTCAAGCCTAAAAATTCAACTATCTTGGTTCCATCTGCAAGATTATGCGGAAATGAATAGCGAAGTAAAAACTCAGTCGAAAAAAAGTTTGGCTCAAATGGAGAGAAGTGAGCGGAGTACTGTGCGACAAGAAGATGTCATTAGACTGAAAGGGAAGGTGTACAGAAAGATAGTAAGACCGGTGCTTCTGTACGGAGCGGAATGTTTGACTACACTGAAGAGACATGAGCAATAGCTGAACTCGGTAGAAATGCGAATGCTCAGATGGATGTCTAGTGTCTGCAGAAAGGACCACAACCGATACGGCTCCATAAGAAACGTTTTAAGGGTAATACCAAACACTGATACTGCCAGGGAAGAAAAGAAGGGGAAGACCGAAGAAAGGTGACGTGATTCGTCAAGAACAATATGAAACTGCGATGAGTCTCTGAAGATATAAAGAATGGCAGAAAAATGAGGAGGAGGTTGACACGATTAGCAGACCCCTGCCAAAGGGAACATGCTTTGAAAAAGAAGATGCATCTGACACTGCAAAAATTTTTATTAGGTATGCCGTTAATGACATGAAACTGTGTCATGTTTTCTTCAGAGATAACCACATAATGTTTTCCCCTAAGCCCATCTGTAAAAGCTGGAATTAGAATATCCTTCTCATAGATAGAATGACAAAACAGGAACAAAAAGATCTGCTATCACTTTGTCAGGCTGACAGGATTTCTTAACGATCGAAGCGATAAAACAGAACACGCTCCATCAAATTTCACCTTACCGAATGTGAAGCACTCTAAATGTTGCAAGATACAAGATCGGATTTAGTGCGATAAACCTAGAAACATTCATTTTGATCATTCTCTGTTCCTTTCAATTTCAAATGGGAGGTAGCTTCAAGTAATTTTTCAATAGTCTTGGTTTTACGTGAATCCCGATAACATCTCAAAGATCTATGATGCAAAGTTTTCAAAACCTCGAAAGTATCTGACCCAAAGCTAGTTCCTTTGGTTTTCTGTTATGTGGCATTGCGAAAAAGGTGTTTTGCAAGTCTACCCTCTAACATATTAATCACACCGAATGGCACAAAGAAAGGCATTGCACAAGGTCTGTCGATTTGGAGAACGAGTAGCTTACGAATAAAAAAACTTTCATATTCCGCGGCCATGTTTTAAAGCTTTCGAGTGTCGTCACGCCAGGTCTCTGTTCGACAGAAGCTCATTTATGCCGCTTGTATGCGGTATTGGATTCTCGGTCATTGTCTCACACTAACCACCATAGGTGACTGTAAGGGCATAGCGTAGTAACCAAATGACGTACAAATATAGTGTTTTAAGTAGTACCCAAAAATATAAATATTACCTTGTGTAGAGTATAAATAGTGGCTCCTCGCTCTCAATCCATTCGACGGGACAAGTAGGGGATGCATTCTTCATTTCATCGGCGTACAAAAAATCAGAAGTATCCGAGTTCTAAACACACTATTAGTGCAATCAACTAAGACGAAAAATACGAACCTCAGCCACGTGCGATTCTTGATGAATAAGAGAAGCCGAATCCTTTAAATTTTTTACGATAATTCGACACCTCACCCGATGACCTCTAAATAATTAGAGTAGCATCTGACTACAACTGTCACTTTTGATATATAATTGGGAACAATTTGATTTAAAAGTCCTTAAAATTTAATCCCTCTATATGTACATGGGTTTAAACGGTCTCACTAGGCGCCATAGCACGTTCTGGTGCGGATAGCGCGCAATTCTGGGGCAGCGAGTTTCAATCTATATGATTGGACGGTGATAGTTGCGCGGATCAACTTGGGTTTGCGATGCTATTGTACGAGTGAAAAACTGAAGTAGCGATTGTAACTGGTGCGAAGGACGATTTGCAAACTGAAATGACTACCACTCAACCAAGAAACACAAGCTTTGCCTCCGAGAGAGAGTAAACGGCCAATACGAAGACCGCTAAATCAATGGCAGAATGGGTAAGAATAACAGAGAGCAGAAGTTTATGGCAAAGTTTTGGTGAGACATTCATCCACTAATGAAGCGAAAAAGGCGGCTGATGATGACAAAAACGCCTGATTGTAGTCACAATTATTCATCTAGGCAGTTTTGCTGGCAGTGGCAGACATATTCTTAGCCTCCACGGTAATGGCAGCAACAATAATGAAC